TGGGGCTGTGGCTTAGACCTCTGAGGGGACAGAGCATGGAGGGAGTATACCCAAGTTGGTACCCAGATGGTTGTACCTCTGAGGGAGCACGGGGAGACTGGGTCCTTTATTACCCCAAGACCTGGAGGCTGGAACCATAGTTGTCCAGTATGGTGGTCCCTACTGAGTTGAAAACACAAGGAGCCCCATCTCCCTACCTCCTGCCTTTCATTCTCCTCTGGTGCCCCCTATTGACAGTGCTCAGCAGAAAGCCCCCTGGCAAGGTGGTCTGGGAAATACATTAATAGTTAGGTTCCCAGCCCCAGGGCCATAGAGCAGAGTGCCGAAGTGGGGCTGGGAGACAAGAGGCAGAACGGGAAATGGGGACCTTTATGTTGAGTAAAACCTTCAAGGGCACCCAGTTGAGGCCTAGGTGGATAGGGCTCCCGATCACCAGTCTGAAGATACTTTTATTATACTCAATGCTTTTTATTTTAAGAAGGTCAATGACACAAGACAGTTGGGCATGCAGGAGAATCCGCATGTCTTACTTTTTTCATGCTGCAGCAGTGGTGACTTTGGTGTCCTGGAAAGCCACTGGTCTGGCTGGGGGCAGAGGGCAAAGGGCAGAGGGGCAGAGGCTGAGACACGGAAAGCCCAGTTGTGGCAGCAGTGGGTCTGTCTCCCGAGGAGGAGGACTCACGCACTCTGCTTTCCACCTTGGTAAAAGGCATTTCATTCTTACAGTGAGCTTTTCAGCCCCATCGGATCTTACTTATAATGGCTGTTTCATCTTTTAGCTCCTGTATCATTTTGTATTCCTTAGACTGGGTTTCAACTTTCTCCTGAATCTCAATGATCTTTGTTCTTACCTGTATTCTGAATTCTGTGTCTGTGATTTCAGCCTGGTTAAGAACCATTAAGAACCAACTAGTGTGGTCGTTTGGAGATGAGACACTGGCTTTTTGAGTTGCCAGAGGTTTTACGCTATATTTTGCTCATCTGCATGGGCTGATGTTCCTTTAGTCTCTGAAGTTTGGATGTGTTTTTTTGATGCCCTTGGGCATTTGATTGTGGTATAAGTTGAGCTCGTTTGACTGGTTCTATTCTAGAAGATTTCAGAGGGCCAAGGCTCAGCTCAGCACCCGTGGGCTCTGTGCTTTAACTCTGGGGTGCTGGATTTGCCAGCTTCATTTTCTGGTCCCCTGCAGTTAGTAACCTGATGCGCTGGAGGGGCTGAGGTGTTCCTGGTTTGCTGGCCCCAACACTCTGACATGGGGTGCTGGCCACAGCGATTGATAGGAGGGAGCAGGGGAAGGGGGACCTGCGCTTGCTTACGTGTGCCAGCAGCCATGGTGGCATGTCAGGCTGCCCGTGCCGCGGCAGCGGTGGAGTCCCAGTGGAGGTGGGGAGGGCAGTGGGATGTGCTCTGTCGTCAGCGCTAGGGCAGCAGGGTGCACGTTCACATTGGTGTTTTGTGGGGAAGGGAAGTGAAGTCTGCCCATACACCTGTACCAGCCAAGCAGCAAGAGGGATCTGTGGGTGGGTGAGTGCTGACAACACGGTGGGGGAGGCTGCTTGTGGGCTGGTTGCATTGGTGGAGGCGGATCTGCTGGAGTTCTCCACAGGTTAGCTGCAGTCTGCCCTTGAAAGAGCTATGATTGCCCCTCCCCCCACTCCCCACCCCCCCCTCACCGCTGGAAGCACCCTGTTTGGGCATCAGAGGCTGTGCTGGAAGCTGGTGTGACCATGCTGGGGCCCTAGGAGATGCTGGCACATGGTGAGTCGTGCTCAGATCAGACTGTCCTCACCCTGGGGGCAAGACCACCTGGCTCTGTGCAGGTCCAGCAGTGTCCCAAAGGCTAAAGCCACCTAGAAGATCTTGGTGAGACTGGGAGGATGGGCATCCCTGGCCGTGCTCCACTGTACATGTTCCCACACCATACCTGCTGGGCTCCACACAGGCTGGAGTCCTGCCCCTGTCACCTCTCTCAGCAGCTCTCCCTGCCAGCTCAAGCGTCCCTGTGGGTCGTGGGGTCTCCTGCAGCTAGGATTTCAGAGGTCTGTGGCAAGAGCAGACTGCTCCTTGACCGTTCAACTCACCCCTTCCTTGGAAATGGCGTTGGTAGAATTTGAGCTGCAGGGATTCTTCTTGTGCAGCCGGGAGCAAGGGAATTCCGAGAGGGGTTGTGGTTTTGAATTTTCATGCCAGATGTATTTTTTATCAGCGTATTGTTTTTCCCTAATAAATTCCTGGATACTGTATCCTTTCTAAGCTAAAGGAGTATCTGTTCCATACAGAGCTTTGATAATGTACAGCTGAGATATTTGGGTTTTTTAGTTTTCAAAGTAGACAACGAGTTAACTGCGATGACGGTTTATATATTTGCTCAACACTTTCCGCAGATTCCAGACCTTCAGAGTAAGTTATAATTTGAAGATTCGAAAAGTAGATTTCTGTCTTTTTCTCTTCCTCATCTTGTTCCAGAAGGATTTGAGGTATCTCACATAAATACGTAAAATTTTCTTTTCTAATAGATAACCGAGGCGAAGGGAAAGTAGATGTAAGAAAAATAATACGAAGCCAGAGACTGAAAATCTCCCAAGTCAGTACCAACTCCAGCAATGTACTGGCGAAAGAAACTGCTGGGCTTGACTTCAAGAATGTTCCCTGGTGTCCGTGACAACAGGAGAAGGCCTGGGGCCTGCCATGGCTGCGATGTCCTCCTCAGCAGGGCGAGAGCCACCCTCCATTCCCATGGCAGCTGGAGACAGCTGGTCACGCGCAGAGCTTGGAGCGCTCCCCGCTGGCCACACGCCCGCCCACCTGCACTCTGACCTCTCTGGTGAGGCCAGAATCCAGCACGTGTGTTGCTCTGAAATTAGTGTTTTTCTTCTTCTTTTTGAAGATGCTGTCATCTGTGAATACTGGCATCCGTGCAGCATTATCAAGCATATTTTTGCAGTGTAGGGAATTAAAGGTGGAAGTGTATTCGGGTTCTTTTCTCCCTGTAGGAAGAGGAATGATCGTCAGAAATAATGGCTGTGGGTCTCTGCTGGGGGAGTGGTTGAGATCAGGGAGGGAGGAGAAGGCTAAGTTGCCCCCTAGCCTCCTGCCCCCCAGTCTTGCCATTCTCACTTGCCAGCACCCCAGGAAGGGAATGCAGGTCCACGGTCTCTTGTCTGCAGTTGCAGAATCCAGGGGTTTCCACACACGTTTGTCGAAAGCCCTGCCCTGCCCCGACATGAGGCTGCTGAGCGGTGTCATTATTCACCCCTCTACCCACTGCGTGCGTCTGTTCAGTGAGCATTTATTTCCCACCTGTGTGCTAGGGAATGGGGGGAAGGAAAGGAGCAAATAGCAGTCATTGGTGGAAGCCCGTGAAAGCCACAGCACCCCTGACCCTGGGGTTTACCTGTTACTTAGTATTCTGGGCACGTGTCAACTCACAGTGTGTCATTCTCTACGGCAGCCTGTTAGGTTAGCTCTGCAAGACCTAATAGGGAGGGAGGCACAGGTCTTGCTAGTTTTTCTTTGTAAACTTGAAATACACCTACCCAGTACAGGATTTTTTTTTTCCATACAGTCTTGCTCTGTCGCCCAGGCTGGAGTGCAGTGGTGTGATCTCGGCTCACTGCAACCTCTGCTGCCCGGGTTCAAGCAGTTACCCTGTCCCAGCCTCCTGAGTGGCTGGGATTATAGGCATGTATCCCCATTTTTGTTTGTAAATTATGACCCTTATCTCAGATTATTTACTAATACAGTAGGGGCCTCTCATCCATGGTTTTACTTACATAGTTTCATTTATTTGCGGTCAACCGTGGATCAAAAATTGGTGAGTACGGTACAATAAGATATTTTGAGAGAGACCTTGTTCACATAACTTTTACTACAGCGTGTTGTTACAATTCTATTAGTTCCTGTTGTTAATCCCTTACTGTGCCTAATTTATAAGGGATGCATCACCGCAGGTACGTATGTGTAGGACATCACATAGTACAGGACATGCAGGGCTTGGGACTGTCTGTGGTCTCAGGCCTCGCCTGGGGATGTTGGAACATATCCCTACAGATACGGAGGGTCTGCTGTATCCACTGCTGGTTCTGGAATGCTTGGGTCAGTTTATGAAGCCGGCTGGTGCATGTGTAGGCTGTGTATAGCAGAGATGTGTCCATAGAGGCTGCTGCTAACGTGGGAATCACTGTCAAATGGAAGAACAGCCTCCTGTTTACATTCAGGTTCTGAAAATGCATGCTGTTCATATCAATCAGTGGTGTTTCCATGTACAAAGACTGGCAGCTTTGGACCTGTAGGTGTGAGCTTTTTAATAACAAGAGCTGTTTATCAGAGTAACATTTTACAGGGGTACAGGTTACCTAAAGACTCGGTGGAGAATTACACATTTACTACGAACCCTCCCAGTAATCCTGCTGCTGCTCTAGTAGGCTGGAAAAATCCACTACTGCTACTAACGCTACGAGTACGATTTTCCTTCTGATTGTGTTTAAAGAAAGCATCGTGTGTTTATGCCTGCCAACATTTATGGCTCCTGGTTTCTGAGTCTGAGAAGAGTTACTGGGATGCTGGCCCCCAGGGGAGCCCTGTCTCCTCTGCCCAGCTTCCTTGGTCCAGTGATCCTCCCTGGGTGTGGCCCTTCAGACCCCTGCCCGCTGGGTCCACGCCTCCTTTCCTTTACATACTCGTACGGCTCTCTATGCTCCTCTGAAGTGGGGTGGGTTTTCTCTTCTGGCCCCTCGGCCCCATTGGCCTCTCCGGCTGTGGTGGGTATTGGATGTGGCCCCCATCTGGCCACAAAGCTCTTGCCCTTCTGTTGGGCCAGCTCCACCCCGCGTGCGTGAACTCAGCATCCATGTGATGGTGGAGATTGCTGGGTGCCGGCACCTCTAGGCCTGTCGACACCGGCCACTCTCTTGGGCAGACTCAACAGAAGACCTTTTCGTTGCACAGTTTTGGAAGTCAGTGAGCCAAGCACTGTGCAAATATTTCCATTGTTTTCTAGAAAAGAAGCAGCCGAGGCAGGGCAGACCTTCGCAAGACTGGCGGGAGCGGAGGAACGCCATCCAACTGACCAGCGAGCACACGGTGGAGACCCTGGTGGTGGCCGATGCCGACATGGTGCAGTACCATGGGGCCGAGGCCGCCCAGAGGTTCATCCTGACCGTCATGAACATGGTGAGTCCAGAGTCGGGGGCCTGACGCGAGGTGGGGGCAGAAGTGGGGGCTGTGTCCTCATCTCCTCAAGTGAGGAGGATGCTGGGTTAGGGGATAGGAGAACATAGCCTGGTGATCTGCAGGCATCAAGGAAGGCAGGTACCTGGGGGCATCCTGATGGGAGTGTGCCTGCCCCCGGCTCCACACTGGAGTAGTGTGGAAATGCCCAGATCTGCTCAGTGATGGGGCCACCCGTTACCGGCAGGCTTCCGAAAAGCTGTGCTGTGGTTTCAGGCCTCGCCTGGGGGTGTTGGAACGGAGGGCCTGTGTATCCACTTTTGGTCTGGAATGCTTGGGTCTCTTTAGGAAGCCGGTTTGTGCACATGTAGACTGTGTGTAGCAGAGACGTGTCCGTACAGGCTACTGCTAAAATGGAACTCGCTATCAAATGAAAGAATAGCCTCCTGTTCACGTTCAGATTCTGAAAATACATGCTGCTCATATCAACCCTCTGTGTTGGTCAGAGGTGTTTCCTCTCCACGGGGCATTCAAAGTCACGCGAGTCCCAGACCCTGCTCCAAAGAGTCCATAGTCTAGCAGGAGGGACACAGTCAAACCTCTCTGGAAAAAGAGCTTACTGAGAGCGAGAGGCGCCGGCGAGAAGTGGGGAGAGATCTTGCCTAGTTGAGGGAACCAAGGAAGGGGTCACGATGCCCACGTCTGTCTGTCCAGTTTGTCAAAGGGGATGGAGGGACACCTTTAGTTGGGGATGGGTGGGTGGTGATGCTGAGCTCCTCGCATATTAGGCGCTGAAGGACCTTCAAGGGTATCCTGGCCTTACCCATGCATTCGTTTCCCCAGGTGTTCCTGAGGACCAACTCATTTGGCCTGGCGGGAGCGGGGAGCCATAAGGGTGTGGGGGATGTGGACACGGCCGGGTGACGGGGCAGGGTCAGGCATCTTGAGCAGGGGCTCTTCCATGAGAAGTGGGACCCCTAAACGGAAGGGGAGCCATGTGCCAAGGCTGATGTTAGGAAGAACAGGCCGGCAGCCGCATGCACGGTGGATTGGAATGGGAAGCAGTGTGGTGGAGCATTGGGGCTGGAGCATGTGTGGGAGAGGGTTGGAGTGGGAACGGAGGAGGAGCTGGGGAAAGCGGAAGGACCTGCAGGAATTGGTACCTGGCAGGATGTGAGGGCTGGAGAGGCAGGAAGAGGAGGCAAGAGAAATCCAGGCTCCTACACCCAGGCTTCAGGCTGGGCCTCTGGGCAGGTGGCGGAGCCATTGGCTGAGAAAAGATGAGCAGTGAGTTTGGGGCCACAGCAAAGAGTTTCCATTCTGGACAAGCGGGGACATCAGGACAGAAGTCTTGGTGGAAAAGAGGGAACTGGGGCTTTTCATCCTGCACCCAGCAGCTGAACTCAGGGAGTGCCCGGCACTGCCTGGCGGAAAGGTGTCAGTGAATAGAAAAGCTGATCCGTGACAGCCCACGGAGCACCAGCCCTGGGGGGACAGGGCAGGACCTGGGAGGAGGGTGTCCTGAAGAAGGGGTGACAGGTGCAGGAGACTGGCTAACGGTGCCAGACGGAATGGCGTTAGGAGTGTTGCCAGTAGATGCTTGATGAGGACGGACTGCAGAGGGAGTGGGAAATGCGAAGTGGAAACAGCACTTGCTGATCTCAGCTAACGGAGAGGAGACAGCCGCACCCAGACTTTGTAGAGGGAGAGCAGTACCCAGGTTCGGAGTGTGAGGTTTAGCCCCAGGCCTGGCCCAGACTCCTGCCCAGCCGCTCACAGCAGAGACCGCCTCTCAGCAGCAGGCCAGGGATTTCGCTCTGGCCACCGTGAGCGCTCGCTGCCTGGCACGGATGGTCATGCGGTTCATGCCAGGGAGTGAGGTGAGAGGACAGGGTACAGTGGGGAGTGACCCGGGGCCTGAGTTTTCGGGGGGAACAGCAGCAGTGGGTTGTGTTGTAAGAGAGGGAGATGGCGTGCCTGTCCTGGAACCTGTAGCTGCAGCCAAGGTCTTGAGGTCTAGGGAAGGGCAGAGCCAGGCCTCAGGCAGCCGTGTTTGCCTGGTGTGCTGAGTGCTGGGGCTCAGGGGTAAGCACTGGGAGGAAGCTGCCTCTGACCGGAAGCCCGAGGGAGGGGCTCAGCGTGCTGGGAGGGTAGCAGAGGGCTTCGGTCTCTGTGGCTGACAGGGTCTGCAGGTGGCTCTTGGACCATGTGTGGATGTTACATTGCTGCGAGGGATGATCTCTAGGTTTTAGAGGTGGACTGGGTGGGGCTGTGGATGGGAAAGGACACAGAAGCTGGGTGAACCCCCAGTGTACCATTCCTGCTGGGATCTCAGCTCTGGTAGTTGTGTAGCTGGGGCTGTCGTGGCTGAGAGGCCTGGCGGCACACGGTGGCCTGGACAAAGGATACCAGCACTGAGTCTCCCCTTGTGGGGATGGGACCCCACAGCTTGTTTCCCAGAGGCTGGAGGAGGCCCAAGAGCAGGGAGGCTCAGGGATATTGTCCGGGTCACACAGGAAGTCACTGACAGGGCTGTGACCACCATGTCCAGCTTTTCCCCTAAGCAGCCACAGGGAAATCATTTTTGACCCCAGTCCTGGGCCCGGTGCGTGTGGGGACCCCCATGGCAATCCTGCTTGTTGTGAGGACAAATCTCTGGTACTTTGTCCGCCATTTTGTTGAAGACTTTCCAGGACTGGCTTTGGGACGTGTCTCTGTCTGTAAGGAATCCCCTGTATCTTGTCTATGCCCCTCACCCCTACTGTGCCCTAAACAAGGCTGCTTTGGTGGCACTCGGAGAGCAGAGGCCTCATGTTGAGCTGCTGGACCCACATGTTTCCTCACATGCCAGGCTCTTCTGCAAGGCACACTTGCCAGGCAGGCCCCCGGGGACCCCGGGCCAGGGATCTGCTTTCTGACAAGGCCTCAGTGGGCATGTGAGGGTGCCAGGCTTCTCCCACCCCTCCGTCAGAGTCATCAACTCTGGAATTTCCATTAACTTAAAAAAATGCTTTTGGCACGTTTCTAATTCTTTTTATTGTGGTAAAATACATATGTAATGTAAAATTCATCATTGAAATACATATGTAATGTAAAATTCACCATTGGAATACATGGGTAATGTAAAATTCACCATTGGAGCGATTTTTATGTGTTTCAGCTAGTGGCCTAAAGCACATTCATCTTGCCGTGCGACCATCACCACCATCCACCTCCAGAGCTTTTTCACAGTCCCCAAATCAGAAACTTCCTACCCATTAAACACTGTCTCCCCCTCTGCCTCCCCCAGCCCCTGCCAGCCTCCATTCTTTCTGTCTGTATGGATTTGATGACTCTCGATACCTCCTATCAGTGGAATCATGCAGTATTTATCCTTTTGTGGACAGACGGCTTATTTCACTCAGCATGATGTCCACGAAGTTCATCGATATTGTGGCTCCTGTCAGGATTGCTTCCTTTTTGAGGATATTATCCCACTGCACAGACGTGCACCACATTTTGCTTCTCCATTCGTCCGTCAGTGGAAGCCTGGGCTGTTTCCACCTTTTGCTGTTATGACTAATGCAGCCATGAGCATGGGTGTGCACATTTCTCTTCAAGTTCCTGCTTTCAGTTCTTTCGGGCATATACCTGGAAATGGAATTCCTTTGGTTAACTTTTGATGATGCTCATTTCTGAGAAATAGTACTTCATGAGCACAAGCCAAGGTCTCCCCGGTGGCTGGTTAATGATGGGCTGCATTGCTTCAGTCTGCCCGGAGCATGCCAGAGAGGAGGCTGGAGGGGCTTGGCTCTGCAGCAGACCCTTTCATCTGCAGATTATTTTATCTCTGTCTTTTTTTTAATTACCCAGGGCACAAGTGCAGGGAATAAACATTCATTACAACAGCTAAGGCAGTAATAAGGCAGAGCTTCTGCTTTGATATTTGCTTTCACAATTTATCATCCAGGCAGGGGTGGCTCTTTTATCCCAGGCAGGGAGTGAGGAGGGGATGGGGTTGGTACACGGGGATGGGCCCTCCCATCCTGCACCCCTCGTGGGCTGTGACGACTGAGGGGCTCTGTTTCTTGATTTTGATTGAACACCCTACACCCCCTTCAGCAGCTTGTACTAAGACACCAGCAGCTTAAGAGCCCGGGCTGAGGGCAGACCTGGGGCCAACATGTGAAATTTGGATTGAGATGTTTCCTGATGAGGCCTGCCTAATAAGGACGAACCCGCCGTGAGAAGGGCCGGGTGTGATGACACTGAGCCCTCTGTCATCTCTACTTGGGGTTTCTGGGTCCTTTTGTTCCACGACAGAAGACAAATGGAAGCAGAGTCCTCAGACCCCTTTCACGGGTGGGCTGACACTGCAGCAGCCCTTCCTTGCCACTCTAGCCCTGGACCACCATTCAGTAAAATGAAAAACAAGTTTCGTTCAGACATGACACCTTGTTTAAACAAGACCGCCTCCACCGGCACCTCCCTTCCCCAGTCTCTCAAATCCTAGTTTAGGAAATCCAAAGAATTCTCTCCTGCCTGTGGCTGTTTTAGAAATGGTTTTCTGTTAGCAAGTGAGGTAACCTTTAAGCCGGGAGGAAGGGAAAGGATTGTGGCTGGGCCAGGAGGCCTGTCATTAGAGGAGCCCCCCAGAGCGGAGAGGAGAAGGTGATGCCAGCGAGCCCGTCTGTTTCCCTCCAGAGCATGTTTTCTGTGGGGCTGTGGGATGGGAGTGGCTCTGTCTCCTTAACCCCTCCAGGTTTGGAAGGAAACCTGCTAGAGTTGGTTGCCACCTTCATTCCAACACATTTCTCTCTTGGTTGTGGGAAATAGCACAGAGACCCTCCCGCCTGGGTCTGTGTGGTAAGAGGCCTGTCTCACCTGTGTATGCTGCCCTGACTGAAGGCAGAACCCAGACAAGCCCCTCTCCCCAAGGCAGACCAGGGGCCAGCGGTACCTCAGAGAGCTGATAATATAGCCAAAACTAAGAGAATGTGGCATCAAGTGTTTGCTCCAGATTT